AATTTGATTTAACTTGTTATTCCATGCCCTTGGAGCTTGCTTTAAACCATAAAGTGCCTTGTGTAATTTATACACCTTCTCCTCACTTCCCTTGACAACAAATCCCTCCGGTTGAGTCACGTATACTTCCTCTTTTAATTCTCCATGAAGAAAGGCTGTTTTCACGTCAAGATGGTGCACTTCCCATCCATTGGAAGCCGTAAGAGCAAGAATGAATCTAACGGTTTCAATACGTGCTACCGGAGCAAAGACTTCATCAAAGTCTATACCATGCTTTTGTACGTAGCCTTTAGCAACCAATCTTGCCTTGTACTTGTTTATACTTCCATCAGAATTACGTTTAATCTTGAAAACCCACTTTAACCCGATTGGTTTGATTCCTTGAGGAAGTTTTTCCAAACTCCATGTTTTGTTCTTTGTGATTGATGCAATCTCTTCATCACAAGCGTCTCTCCATTCTTTTAGCTCTGAAGCTTCACTAAAATCCCATGGTTCCTCATTGACTTGAAGGAGCAGTCTTTCTCCCTCAATTTCGGCCAACAACACGTAATCTGCGAGATAACCTGGTATCTTCTTTGTTCTTGCTGATGGCTCTCGCAAAACAGGTTGAGGTTGCACAAACTCAATTTCAACTTCACTATCGGGTTCATTAGTGAGACCTTCCTGCTCTTCTTCTTCTTCATGTTCCTCTGTTTCCCATGTTTCCTCTGTTTCCGTATTAATCCCAATACCTTTGTTCCCAAAATCTCCAAAGCTTAGCTTAAACATTCCAGATTCTTCGCCAGCTTCCTTTTCATGATTACTCCACTTCCAGCTCCTAGTCTCATCGAAAACAACATCCCTACTCACGATTATCTTTTGGCTTGTAGGATCTAAGAGACGATAGGCTTTAGTTCCCGGTTCTACTCCCAAATGAACCAACATTCTTGATCTGTCCTCTAGCTTTTTCAGATGTGGAGCTTCTCTTTTTGCAAAACTTAAACACCCGAAGACCCTTAAATGTTCTATATTCGGTTTCTTCCCCTTTAGTACTTCGTATGGAGTTTGATCCACTAGAGTTCTTGTGCCAATTCTATTTATGAGATATGTGGCATGTCTCACTGCTTCTCCCCATAAATAGTTTGGCAAACTCATGTGCTTTAGGATACTTCTCGTCATCTCTAGTAATGTCCTATTCCTTCTCTCGACAACTCCGTTTTGTTGAGGTGAATAGGGTGCAGTTAGATGCCTATTGATTCCGGTATCTTCACAAAAGGCTTGAAACTCTTGCGACGTGAATTCACCTCCTCTGTCCGTACGAAAAGTTTTAATGGAAACTCCCGTTTCTTGTTCGATCAATGCTTTGAACTTCTTGAATTTCTCAAAAGCTTCTCCTTTCTCCTTTAGCAACATTGTCCACATGTAGCGTGAATGATCGTCAATTAGGACAAAGATATACTTCTTGTTCGCGGTTGTGGTAGGTGTGATAGGTCCACAAAGATCGCCGTGTATGAGCTCAAGTATTTGTGTGGCGCGATACAGTGTAGCTTGAGGAAACGGTCTTCTAGCTTGTTTACCAAGTAAACACGAGGAACAAGTGTTTTTCTCAATTTGAATCATTGGCATTCCAACAACTAGTTCCTTCTTCATCATTTTCTTCATTGTTTCTAACCCGACATGTCCTAGTCTTGAATGCCACTTTTCTGACTCGTTTAAGGCCATTACTTGTAAACACTTGGTGATCTCAACCTCCATAAGTACCTTGTACAACCGATTTCTTGATCTTTTTGCTCTTACCAACAGTTTTCCTTCTTGATCATATAGTATTAGGTGATCTTCTTTCATGTTTACTTCGCAGCCCGCTTCTGTTGCTTGTCCAAGGCTTATGATATTGCTTTTCAAATCTGGTATGAAGTAGACATCAGCCAAGACTTTCTTCTCTCCATCTTTGCTCACAAATAAAATTTATCCTTTGCCCTTTATGTCTATTCGGGAATCATCTCCAAAACGTACTTTTCCCGTGACTGTCTCATCAACGCTTGAGAAATACTCTCGGTTTCCTGACATATGATTACTCGCTCCATTGTCTAAGTACCACACGTTTTTCTCATCTAACTGTGTTTCAAAGTCACTCGGCTTTAGATTTCTCTCATTGAGATACACTACTTCATGTACCATCAAGTTCTCTGCCTTTTGTGTCTCGTCTCCTTCATTCTCACACGTTTCTTGGAGTTTTAGCAATCTATCGGGACAGTTGGAGGCATAGTGTCCGTTTTTATCGCAACGATAGCACACCAATTTAGATTTGTCTCTGCCTTGACCATTCTGAAAGTTTCCATACTCTTGGTACGGACCATACCTACCACGTCCTCTGCTTCCTCTTTGAAAGAACCTTCCACCTTGTCCTCTTCCTCTCCCGTAATTTCCTTGAAACGATTGTGAGTCCGAGTTAACAAACATAAGCTTCCCTTGGTCTTCTTGTTAATTTTCTTCCTCATCACAAGTTCTATCTTCATACGTTTTCATCCTTCCTACAATATCCTCAAAGCTAGTTTTATTAAGATCCAGGACTTGCTCCAAAGCTGCGATGATGTGAATAAATCTTTTTCTTGGTAAACTGTTAAGAAACTTCTTCACGAGTTTTGGAGTTTCGATGTTTACTCCCAACGCTGCAGATTTTGTGACTATCTCCGAGAGTTTACCAGAGAAAGCATCAATTGTGTCAGTGTCTTTCATCTTTATCTTTTCGAATTCAGCCATCAAGGTTTGTAACCTTGCTTCCTTGACTCTCCCAACCCCTACATGTCTTGATTTGATAGAATCCCAAACTTGCTTTGCATCTCCTAAGTCGCCAACTTGCAGGATAAGTACTTCTGGTATGGATTGGAATAACAAAGCCCTAGCTATGTCATGTTTCTCTTCATCAGTAGATCCCGGATCAATGGTCTCCCACACTTTATGCACCTTGAGTGTTGCTCGCATACGCATGACCCAAACTGTATAGTTCGTGTCATTGAGCATGGGGCATTTAATTGATGAGGAAGAACCACCATCCTTCGGCTTCACGGGAACCACCTCTCCCATGATTCTGTTTCACTACGTATGTCACCTCTCTTGGTGTATGCGTAGGGTTTCAACTTCAAAACTTTGACGATGTTATCAACACTAGAAAGCTTAATTCAATAGGTTTATGCTCTGATACCAATTATTGAATTAAGAACTAGGTTAAGAACACAAGATTAAAAAGACTTCTCTCTTATTCCTTTAGAAACTTACTCAAAACTAAAGGTCTTACAAATCTCTTAATCTCTCTTATGGAATACCACAACCTAGGCATCTCATATATATAGCAAAACCCTTTTCCTTTTCCTAACACACTTAGGAATTGGATAATTTCCTTTATTCTAGATAACTCCTAGAATATTACATATTTATCTTTAGCTTATTTCTCAAGCTTTCTTCAAACTTATCTCAACAAGAAAGAGATCACTCCGCCGTAAGACACATCATGGCCATGAGCAAGCAATAATCGGAAAGCTGAAGCATAAGTGGCCAAGTCCAAATTTCAGAGAAGACAAAGCAACGGATTTTGGTTTCATCAGACACACAAAAGCAGAACCCATTTGAAAAAATTTGTAAGAAACAAAGGAAAATAGAAGACCTAGACATAAATCTAGACATTTCGATGGACACAAGTTTGTTAAGTAAAGAAGAATTAGTAAACAAACCATCAGATTTATGGAAACAAGAAGGTGAAAAGTCTCGCACGTGGCTCGAAGGGTTTATGTTTCCAATGAGGCTAGGTTTGCTGCGGTCTACGGTGGTCACGGCGGATCCGTCTCTTGTGTTTTGTTCAATAAGGTGGCTGTGGTGTGAGTTGGTCGAACCCCATCAAGATATGAGACTTTTCTGGTGAATTCTGCAGCAAGGGATTCTCACGATGGAGTGGCTCGTGTTTGTTGAAGTTTTTGGTCGCGTTTGGTTCTGGGAAGGGCTTCTATTGACGAAGAAAGAGATGACTAAGAGGAGAATAAGTGAAAAAAAATATTTAAAAAGTTAAATTTTGTCCGTTAGATTCATTTTAATCAACGGTTCATATTAGAACAATACGCCACGTCAGCTATCCGAGTAATCTCTTTCTATTGGCTCTGCTCTTGTTTATTTACTTATACCATTTTAAACAGATTATTTATTGAAATACTATTTTTAAATGGAAAATATTTTATCGTAATTAGAATACATTTTTAATTAAGATTTAAATTTAGTTAGAGTTAAAAAAGATTTTAAAATAAAACCATTAAACACAAATTGTAGTATAATAAATATACATAGATGAAAGCTTCAAATACTTATAACTAACCGATTATGATTTGTTAATTTGTATATTTGTAATATGTTTTCAATTTTGTTATTTTATGTACTTAGTATTAGATAATATATTTTTTGCATACCATTTTGTTAATTGATAAATAGTTTAATATGTTTCTATATTGAACCGTAAAAGGTTTAGGGTATAGGGTATAGGGTTTAGGGTTTAGGATATAGGATTTAGGGTATATGGTTCAATTTTGAAACATATTGTTTACCATTTATAGATTAACAATATAAAATGCAAACAAATTATTAGAAACTTTATCACATTTGATTATTTGTTTTGCGATGTATACTGTTAATTGATAAATTGTAAAATATGTTTCAAGATTGAAACTTGCAAGGTTTAGGGTATAGGATTTAGTTCTGAAACATATTTTTTACTATTTATTAATTAAAAAAATAAAATGTAAAACAAGTATTAAAAACTTTATCATATTTGGTTAATTTGATTATGTATGATTAATAAATGAATGTTTAAACGTTTGAGAATATTATTGGATTATGTATAATTAATAAATGAATGTATGAGAATAATTCTGAACAAAATAAGTTTTTTTTGTTGTAGTTATAATTATGAATTTAGTATTTTTAATATATATATATATATATATATATATATATATATATATATATATATAGTTTAGCAATGTCATAAGTTCGTTGGCTTAATTTTGTTATTTAGCAATTACATATAAAAAGAGATAATATCTTATGAAATTAACACCCAAAAAAAAACATTTTTTGAGACATAACCGGAGGTAGTAGTCATTGAATCAAGTATCTAAAGCTTAACATTCTAAAGTAGTTCTTCCTTTCAGTATTGGTCCTTGAACCTGCACATAGACAACAATAGAAAAACAATAGAGTCAATAAAATTGTTGCACAGAAAGAGTTAATGCAGAGGAAGCGAAATTTGACACTTACTTCGTATAGTTCCTTAATAAGTAAATCTTGTTCTTTGCTAAAGGAACTCACTTCTCGTTTAGTTCCTTAATACTGTTCGACTTACATTTCCAACAGTATAGATTGTATATAGGCAAAACACATCTAGTTATATATATATATATAAAACAAGGAAACTAAACCCAACAAGGTTATAATCTGAAACATCCACACAAGCCTAATGAGTTATTGGTATATATAACAGAGAAAAAAATTGTTATGATCCCACAGTATATACTCCACTTCTTGTCCTGTAGTTAACAATCACAAAACCTCAAACTAATCTATAACTGAAATTCTGAATTGCAAGAATTAATTGAGAAACCACATGCATAATCCAGAAATTTCCCAATTAGCAAAGCTATACTCACGGTTTAAGCGATGCCTTACATTATCATCATCAAGAAAATAACAAAAGCTTCCCCTTTTGTTCAATGAACAAACCAAAGTGCTTTTCCCTACAAAACGAAAGATTAGACTTTCACATAGACATAGACCAAACTAGTCGCTGTTTCTAACGATTATTGCTGGCACTTACCTGAACCACTAAGAGTCTAAGACTGGTGACCCAAATTACACATCCTTTCTAATCAAGCAATCTCTGAGAAACCAAAATCAGAGATTCAAAAAAGAAACATGAGCAAAAAGATACAAGTCACTTTCAATATAGTTTGTACCCATGAAATTTCTCATCTTACAACTCCACGAAGAATCTAAAAGGCATTTCATCACTTCTAATCAACAAGAGTTTTTACAATAACAAGTCTGATAAGTGATAAACAAGAATCAAGTCCGAAACTCAAAACATAATTGGATCTGAAACCATGAGACCTGACGGAGAGATTGAGCTACTACTTTGCAAAACATGATTGAGAAGAACGGAAGCCGCCATTGACGAGTTCAGAAGAGAAAAAGGGAACTGTAGTCACTTAACTGAAATCTTCCTGCAACAGAGCAACACAACCGAAACGGATCAAACCCAACATGAAATAAACACTAAGAAAACCCAAACATATAATTTACCTTCTGTGTCAATTTCGACCTCACCAATTTGATTTGGAATGATGCATGGGACGATTGAGAGGGGTTTGTAGATCGACAGTGAAACTGACGATCGAGATCCAGAGGGATTGCGACTGAGAGGGAACGAGACTGAGAGGTATCGAGAGTGAAAGAAGAGACAAACAAATTGGGATCGAGGGTGAGGGTTTCCAATCGAGTTTGAGAGAGAAAGAAGAAAGAAGAGAAAAGAGAGGAGAGAAGAGAGACGAGATAGCCAAGATCTTGTTTCTATTTGGCGTCTTCAATGTAATTCTCTTTTTCTTTATTTTTTTTTTATTTTAATTTTTTTGGTAAATTTTGGAAGGGATGAAATTTTCAATTTCCCGGTTACCTTCTACGATAACGTTTTCATTGTCTTTATGCTATTACTGAACTAAAAATTAGGCGCCACCACGAAATATTTTCGCGCCTATCCTATCATAGCGTTTGTCTTTCCGGAAACGCTATGTTAATTTTTCGAAAACTCAACTATAGCAGAAACATTAAAAACGCTATGATGTATTGCTATTAATACCCTCATTTCCTGTAGTGTTTGTTGCAAAAGAGTCCATGGGCTTCTGATTCAACAAATGGGCCATGATGGAGTGACACAATTGCCTCATTAAAAACCTTGTTGAGGAAACCCATTGGGACAAAACTCAACAAGGGAAAAAGAGTACAATTGGATCACTCTCCCATTGTTGAATCCAATTGGCTTATCTCTTTCTCCAAGCCAAGGTGGTTTGATCAACTTCTTCAATAGAACATCCGCAGCTACAAGCTCATCCTCAGGTTCATGCTGCTCCTCTGGTTCAAGCTGCTTCCTTGCTCCGTGCTGCTCAACAAGTTCAAGCTCATTTCCACATTCCAAGTCTGTGGTGCTTTCTAGGATCACATCAGTTTGTCTTGAGGTTAAGATTATGTGTCACTTCTATTATGGAGGAAAAAACCAATTTTTTGCAACAACGGTGATTTTGTTTCCCATTCTCCAGTCATTTATAATTAGGTTAAAGAGCATATTTATAAGAGATTGTTGCCGACAATTATGAAACCGACTTCCTTATATTTATAGCAGTTTGTAACATAGGGTTTTAGGGTTTTACACAGTGTATACTAACCGGGCTAGAAAAAAATTTCGACAATAAGTCCACTAAATATAATTAGGTATCGTTTTTTAAGAAAATTTCGAACTGATTTTTTTATTAAGAAACGGAAAGAAAAAAAATTAAAAAAAAATTATATTAGGCAATTTCATTAAGTGTAGGCAAAAGAGTAGTTTATAATTCCGAGAGCTAACGTGAGCACTTTAAACTTCTATATTAGGCAATTTCGTTAAGGGTATGCAAAAGGGTTATTAATTGTGTTGCCTATTTTGGCGATGCTTTTTCTTTTGAATTTTTGGCAAATATCGATTTTTCCTTTTTTTGTTTTTTTTTTAAATTACCTTGAGAATTTATGTTAAACATCGACGTGGACCAATAACATCGCGTTTTTAAATTTCCATGTGGACGGCCTCAGAAGTTTTTAAAATCCAATTGGTCCCATAAAACGCTTATGGCTATAGGGGGTTTGATCGTTCTTATTCTTTCTTGTTTTCTAAGATTTTCTTTAGGACTTATTCTTTTCTGTTTTTAATATTCATCTATGTATAATATACTATATAAGATTAAAAAGAGATTCAAAACTATTATGCGGCCAATTGCCTTTATTTTAAAAGAACAACTTTTTTTTTTCTTTAATAGTAAATAATTTTTAGTTTACTATCTGAAAAATATGAATGTCTGAAAACCAAAATATCTTTTTTAATTATTCATTAATAAACTTAAGGAATAATTTCCTTATATAAAAAATTCATTATTTTGAGTAGTTTTTATTATTTTGCATATTTCAAAGTTTTCTGCAGATATCGATTTTTCCTTTTATTTTTATTTTTGTTAAGTTACATTGAGCGCATATATCGATTTTTACTTTTTTTTTTTGTTTTTGTTAAGTTACCTTGAGAATTTATGTTAAACATCGACGTGGACCAATAATATCGCATTTTTAAAATCCTAGGTGGACGGCCTCAGAACCTTATGGCCTCGACTTTTATATAGTATAGACTAGGTTTTGAACCCACACTACCCGTGGGTTTGTTATATATATTTTGGTGAAATGTAACGATTAATGATATCCACACATAGCGTGGGTTTGTTCTAATATTATGGTAAATTATATCGATTAATGATAGTTGTCAAAATTTTATTTTTATGTATTAGTGTTGTTAATAATATACATCCAGTATATAAAAGAACTTATAGATTTTTAAAATTTAAAATTTCTATTGAAACAAAAATTTTATTTTAAATATATAATGTAGAAAATATTGACTAAAACATTAAGGGTTTTTAGTAATAAAACCCCTCAACTAAAGATAAATAGTAAGAAAACTCCTCAATTATATATTTAGTGGAAAAACCCCTCAACTTTGAATATGTTCATGCAAATTTCTCTCTGTCTACAGTGTCGTAAAAATTGGACGGACTACAGTTCAAATTAAAATCTAACATTTTTCAGAATCTCTCCTAATCGACTTCTACACCACACAAACTTCAGATAATCTTACTATGATGAATTATGGTTCGTCAATTTAGATTTTTCACTTTGAGAACTTTAGAGCTTAGGTTTGAGGATTTATAATCAGATAGAAGAAGATTTTGTTGTTTTTGTTTATAATTCATGTTATTTAAGTGTATATATGTCGTTTTTCAGTTTCAATTTAACTGTAACCCGTCTAATTTTTACGATAATGGAGACGAAGGGGAATTTTCATGAACATATTTAAAGTTGAGGAGTTTTTACACTAAATATATAGTTGAGGGGTTTTTTTACGATTCATCTTTAGTTGAGGGGTTTTATTACTAAAAACTGGTATTTACTTGACATTTGAGCACACATCGCATAAAGTAAAATGGTTTCATTATCTACTTTTGTGTCATGATATATGGTTCTCAATCAAATTAGTGCTTTCTATAAATTCTAGAGACTCTTAATTGATAAAACTAAAACTTAAAAGTCCAAACATATTAAAATTACCAAAAAAACCTTTATATTTTTAGCACATCTTCTCACAATACAAAATTAAAGTATTCACTTGCTTCCTTAGAAAAGTCTTTTGTACTTATTTTGATTGGCAAATAGTGGTATTTTTTTTGTTCGTGCAACTTCATAAACTTAGGTTTGGCTCAACTTTTCCAACCCGAATAAAACATTCTTTAGCTTTTAACCACAACCATCGACATACCATTTTCACTTTTAAGAGAGAAAATCTTTAATTTTTACTTTGGATATGTATTATTCTCAGTAATCGAGTTTGACTATAAAGATAATAAGATCGTATCAACAATATCATAGTAAAATTATTAAAAGAAAATATTATTCTTTTCTGTTTTTAATATTCATCTATGTACAATATACTATATAAGATTAAATAGAGATTCAAAACTATTATGCGACCAATTGCCTTTATTTTAAAAGAACAACTATATTGTCATACTATATAAGATTAAATAGAGATTCAAAACTATTATGCGACCAAAACTATTATACACACACAAAAGAGAGAACTATATTGTCATCTCCGTTCAATTTATCTATATTTTTTTATGACTTTCTTCTGAAAATTCATATTACATGTACTGATCAGTATCATCTCAACAATTTTTTCGTGATTTGCAATCACATCAAAGTACTTTTATATTTCTTAAAAAAAAAACTTTTGATTAGTCAACACAATATTATAGATATAGATACTGAAACGTAATTGGTTCTTCGTTTCCATGCACATAATTCACCTAACCTTTTTCAAAATATTCAGAATAATTAAGATAACGGAATATGCAATCGTTAGACTTAAAATTCTTAGCGAACAAATTGCATGTCTTGACCGATTAATGGTTCGATCTAAGTCTTAAGGACAAAGACGATAAAATCGGTATAAGGGTTCGTTAGAATTAAACCAAGGGTAGAAAGAATTTCGCTGTGTTAAAAGAAATGGATAATATAATTAAGCCTCGTAAAGGTAATTCTATGTTAAAATGCAAAAAATATAGAGGTTCGGTTGGGAAGAGGCACGAATGTAGGTCCATGATCACCGGACGCCAAGACGTCCGGGACGGAACGCTACAACGTCCTCTCTCGGCCTGTGGGCCCACCCGTATCTGGCGGCCGGTTTGCTACGTCTCGGAGGCGTTAAAGACTTCTTTACCGACCTTACAAATCACCACATGATCTTTTCCTTTGTTTTCTCCACACTCACACAGTTCTGACAATCACTTTCCGGAAGGTCACCCATCCTGAAATTGCTCCAGCTCAAGCACCCTTAACTGTGGAGTTCTCTTAGGACAGCTGACCGAAAAGATAAGTGCACTTTGGTGACATAGGTGGCCAAATCAATTTCTTTACAACATCTCCGCATGCACTACCATATTTCTGAAACTGGAGTGTTACAATTCACCCCCACTAACAGATCGCAACGTCCTCGTTGCCCACCAAGAGCGTCACCCCGACGGTGTGAGCCCTCTTGACTCCACACTCGCCTAATTTGACTCTGATACCACTTCTAACGCCCCGACCGCCACTCTTAATGGGCTCCACATCCTCTCTTGGTCCGTGGGCCCACCATCTTCTAACGGTCGGGCCGCTACATCCAGGAAGCTTTAAAGACTTGTTTACCGACCCTACAAATCACCACATGATCTTTCCCTGTGTTTTGTCCTCACTCACACAGTTCCGACAATCACTTCCCAGAAGGTCACCCATTCTGAAATTGCTTCAGCTCAAGCATGCTTAACTGTGGAGCTCTCTCAGGACGTTTGACCAAAAAGATAAATGCACTTTGGTGATATAGGTGGCCAAATCAATTCTTTCAAACCTCTCCGCATGCACCACTATATTCATAAAACTGGGGTGTTATACCTTTAGGTCGGTACCACATTCCACCTTAACTTCCTTTGATCTCCAACAATCTTATACATATATGCAGTGCCGGCCCGAATGTATGGGCTGCCTAAAGTGTTGGTGTCGGATCCCGCACCAGAAGTCCGAGACCAACCAAAGATTGCCACGTAGTCAAGATAACGGCCCATAAAGGATAAAGCCCATTGGACCTGTGAGCCGAAGGAACGGTCGAGGTGGTTATCACCACTTCGAGAATCCGAAGTGACTGCGCTTCGACGTGAGTTCGGTGTATAGGACACGGGTA